TGGGGGCACCTACGCGTGAAAACATTGCTTGTGCTACACTTGGAACATATCACTGTGCATGCTGTATTGTGAGCAACAATTCTAGGCCCATTATTTACACTAAACTGAAGCTGTTGCCTATAAAAAAAAAAAAGTATGTCGCCTTTTCAAGGCTTAAACTGTTGGGTATCTATTTACTTGGTGCAACCTAATCTTTTATATATTACAAAAAAAAGGTGTAATATATTGTGTTTATGTGCCCTAAAATTAACGTTAGTGTTTTTTTTTACAGATATTTCGCAAATTTCATAAACTGTTGTGTTAATGTCGAGTGACATAAAACTGGAACTACTGCAATTCTTTTTTCTCAAGGGTGTCTTCTTTCAGAAAATGTATAATGTTTTCAGGGGTTTAAAATCATCTTCAGGCCTAAAATTATTTTTTATACGTGAGCAAAAGATACAAAAACTGCTCTTACAGAGGAAGGGTTAAGGGCAAGGGAGTTTCAGATTCACCAACATTGTTGTCCAGCAGTGATGAAAGACAAAGTTGGAAAAAGGAACAAAACTTCTCTCTCTTATTTGTAAAGCAAAAAAACATTGCAAAAGATGACACATCCTTTTCTTACAGAGCAGCTGTGGCCAAATTGCTTTTCTTTGTGATTTGGCACACTGCTTTAAAAGAAGTCATAACCATAGCCACAACATGAGATGGAAACATTTATAGAAGTTTAGGAAGGTCATACTGAAAATAAACACAGGACTCTCCATCTGGGCCTAGCCAGGTGGTGGCTCTGAATCTGTTCAAACACAGCTTGCGGGAAATAGAACTTTTCCCTCTCTTTTTTTTTTTGTAAAGCAAATAACTTGCAAACAATTATGCCTGGTACACATGGGCCGAATATCTCCTGGCATTGGCCAGTTCGATAGAAACCGGCCAAGATTCGGCCTGTGCGTACAGCAGCCTGTCTGACAGAAGCTGGCTGCACATCCAGGTTCTGTTGAATGGGCATGCTGGGAAAACAGCTGCCGATCGGCAACCGGTTAGCGCTCAGCTAATGGCTGAGAGAGCTGACCGGCGTGTTCTGACGGGGGGCAGTCCCCATGTCAGAACACAATAGCTCAGTGGAGAGATTGCTGTACAACATCGCATAGTTAGTACAGTGAGCGCCTCAATTTTTGTTGCGTGCCAGGCATTACACATCCATCTGTACTTACAAAACTGCTGCCAAACCACTATTCTTTTTGATTTGGCACACAACCTAAAAGGAAAACCATAATTATAACCAAAACATGAGATGGAAGCATTTATAGATGTCTAATGAAGTTCACAATGGAAGTGAACGCAGGGCTCTCCATCTGGGTCTTGATAGGTGATGGCTTTGAATCTGTCCACACACAGCTTGCTGGGCCACATTCCATAACCATAGGTGTTCATATGGGAGCACAGCAGGGTCTTGACACGCTGGTACTGGTCTGATGAAGCCTTTGTCCCAGAGAAAAAGATACAATGGGCGGTCAGTTCCAGAAAACAAAATATCTTAATAGTAGTACAGGACACAGGACTTGTATTCATAGAATATGGGTTATATCTTGGGTTAATCACCTGAACGCAGCAGCATATAGCCCATGGTCCATGACTAAAAGTCCTGTGTCTTGTACTGTGTGTTTAGCCAAGTAAAAAATTCTATTTTTTTTTTTATTTTGGAAGGGATATCATCTTTTATTGTTCTCTATGTTTCCATTTATGAAAATCCCTCCATCTCCTGCCTATTTAATAGTATGGCAGAACAGGAATTGATGGGATGTAGAACCTACCTTAGCATGGTGGTAGGAGTCTTGTATCTGCTCTTTTCCCATTAAACGCTGAATACCTATGTAAGACATAAGCATAGCTGCTTTACAAATCCGGCTGGGAGAACAGGAGGTATCAGAGAGAGCACTGCAACAAAACAAAAAAAAAAAACAGCTATTACTAACTAATGCTGGTTATCATAAATTTGCTAGAAAATACTGAATGAAGATTAGAAATAGGAGTCTCAACACAAACTTTTGTTTTTATTTTTTTATACTTTTATGAAATCACATTTAAAGTGGAACTCTAGCTAAATACAGAACACAAAACAGTAAAAACTGTTACCTGCCAAAATATTTTTGGGGAGCTCCAAATAAGATTCCTTGTGTTAGATACCTCCCTTAGAGAACCCAGTATCTGAAACATGTTAGACTACCCTTTCTAGGCAATTCAGTAAAGTCTGACGATCTATGAACTCAGGACTTTCTAGGTAGTTTTAAGACAGATCTCAGACATTTAGGGCTTCTTCACAGCAGCCTGCATTCTAACATATGCATGCTGGAGTAGGGGCAAAGCAATGTGTTGTTAATTTTTTTTACTTTAACAAAGTGAAAAAAAAATAAAAATTAAGACTTCATTCAACTCTACTCAGTGTAGCACCTTGCAACACACTGCAGTGCTGTGACATAAGGATACAATAAGGATTATTGCTTCAAAATCCTTTTCTTGGAGAACATCACAGGAAACAAGATGGATCTGTGTCCTGTGATGTACTCCCAGAAAATAATTTTACAGGTAAAAAAAAAAACAAAAAAAAAGGTATTTTGGCTTTCCTATAAATTATATATATTGGAGAACAGTACAGGACATGGGCATTTTCGTTCATAGACCATGGGGTATATGCTACTACCTTCAGGTTATTCATCCGGGTCACTTTAGTGTGATGAGAATCACCTAAAGGTAACCTGAAATAATCATAAACTTTACAGCATACTAGATTGGTACCTTCAGGTGACTAGACACTGGAAAGCATTTGGAGGACACATCTCCTGTGTGCCCCCCCTACAACTCTACCCCCACTCTGATTCCTTAGTTTTGTAACAAGTAACGCAGAGTAACCCAGAAAAAGGAGGGTGGGTGGCATGTGTCCTATACTCTACGCTAAGATATAGAATTTTCAGGTAATTCATAACTCCTTTTGTTTTATTCTTACTGTAAAGGACACAGGTTGAGTATTCATAGACCCTTGGACATACCCAGGTATTGAATAAGAAGGGTGGGCAACAACTAGGCAAACAGAACTGTGCCAACAGGCCCAACAACAAGAGTCAACAGTGCTGCTGCAAAAAAGACTGAAATCCCACCTAGTAGGACTTCGAAAAGGTATGCACAAAGGACCACATGGTGGTCTCTTACAAAGCTGGGCCATGGATGCTTAATGCGTAATGCCCAGGAAACACCCATTGACCCACACGTAAAAAGCAAAAGTGGAACACTGTCCTTTACAGTGTAAGCTCTGGTGATGAGCTGTCATATTTATCTAGCAATGGTGGAATTTGAAAAAAGATGTCCCCTGCAAGGTCCTGAGGGCAGGACGAACAAGAAGTCCACCTACCTGATAGAAGCTGTTGTTTTGAGGTAGGCTCTGACTACATCTAGGCAGTGAAGGGCAATTTATTCTGGGATCTTTGGAGTAGAGCACAAAGATTGAAGGATGTCTTCAATGAGGAGGAAGACTGATACCACCTTAGGAAGAAAAGATGGTCTTGGGAGTAAAACTACCTTCTTTGTGAAGAATGGTCCCTTACAAAGGAAAACCGTTAGCTCAGAGAAATGTTTGACAGACGTGATAGCAACCACGAAGGCTACTTTGCCGGAGAGATAACCTAAGAGGAGTTTCCTGATGGGTTCAAACGGTGGTTTCTGCAGGGCAGAGAGAACCGGATTGAGGTCCCAAAGAGGCACAGGTTGCTGTATGGGGAAGTGATTTGATATACACCTTGAATAAAAATTTTGACAATGAAGAATGAGGCCAAAGGTTTTTGAAAAAGAATGTACAAGGTCGAAACCTATCTTTTTAGAGTTCTTAAGGCAAAATTCTGGTTGTAGGAAGGCCAGAATGTGAGGAATAGAGTAATCTCTGGGGTGAAGTACCTGCGTTCACCACAGACAAAGAAAGATTTCCAGGTATCATAGTAGATCTTTCTGAAAGTGGCTTTCTCTGCTTTCAGCAAAATAGGAATGGCAGACCTAAAGACCCCTCTGTCCTTTAAGACCCTGGCTTCAAAAGCCATGCTGTTAAAGCCGAGACTGAGAAGCAGGATGAAATAAAGGGCCCTAAGACAGCAGCTCTGGCCTTTTAGGAACAGGCCAGGGTTGTCTCCTTATACTCCAAGTATATCTGTGTACCAGGTTCTTCTGGACCAGTTTGGTGCAAAGAGAATTCTGATTCTTTAGAACTATTTTGTGGAGCAAGCAAGGTAGAATTAGCACTGGAGGGAAGGCATAGATTAACCTGAACTGAAACCAGGGAGTTATCAAGGCATCAAATGACAGTGCTGAGGATCCTTGGTGCTTGCTACAAACAGAGGAAGCTTGTTGTTCAATCTGGAGGCCAGGATATCCATGTCCTGGATTCCCTATTTCTGACATAGCTGGTTGAAGAAGTTGGGCTTGATCCAGGAGATGACAGCTGAGGTAATCTGCCTTCCAGTTCCAAGTATGTAGAGGGCTTTTTTTAAAGAGATCCTAGGGGGAGAAAGGTTGGTTGTCTTGTGGCTGGATATCAGCTTTAAAGTGTAATTATTCTGTTTTTTTTATTAATTAAACAGGTCCCCAGGTGGTTTAAGCCATAATATTTAATTCCAATTTATGTGCAGTAACCCAAAGCAACCAATCATAAATTATCTAGCACTAATCCATCTTTAGTAGTTTGAATTCTGATTGGTTGCTACAGGTCTCTATATGGTTTTGGATCAATTTTCATTTTGATACATTGATCTGTTTTTAACCCCTTCCTGCCCACCATGGCATCACTTTTAAAAGTTCTGAATGCTCTGGGGGCGAGAAGGATCAGTGACCATGTGATCACTGTGATTGGCTGTCAGAGAAGTCACATAATCAGAAGCCGGTCCTTTATGCCCCCACATGTTACAGGAAAACAAGTAACCCTTCATATACTGTTCTTACCTCGCCACGGGTTTTCCAGTACTGCCATCCAAAGTCTCCACTTTCTTATCGCCTTTGCTCCAATTCAGGCTGTGTGTGGGGTGAACAGGGGGAGGGTGCTTGTTGTTATGTTCTGGCCCAAGAAACAAGTAGGGAGTATGTACCTCATAGGGCTGGAACAGAGACAAGTCTAGGGATGGCTGCAGCCGTTCAATGAGAGCATTAGAGAGCAAATCTTGTTGTTGCATGGAGCCCCCTGCATTTAAAAAAATGATAGCCACAATTAGTCCAGAAAACAACACCACCCCAGATACAGACACATAGGTGTTGATTAACTAAAAGGAAAACATTGCGCACTTTGCAAGATAGGGCATTTGCTTGAGAGCTTAGCAAATGAGGTGAAGCTTCACTTTGCAAAGAATACCCAATCATATGCATGAAAAAAAGAGCATTTTTGCTTGCACATGATTGGTGATGGAATTCAGCAGAGCTTCCCCTAATTTACTAAGCTCTGGAGCAGATGCACTTGCAAAGTGCAGTCTATTTGCCTTTAGTAAATCAACCCCATAAGGTTTACAAATGTTTTATAGGGTTAATGTATGCAGATAAAGTACTGGCTGAATTTAGTTAAACACAGACCCTATATAGGAAAATGTCAGTCAGTCCACTCAAAACCTGTATTGCAGTTTTTTTAATCAAAGTTTTTGGTAGAGTTAAAGCCCACTCTCCTTTTTTATTACTGTAAAGCAGTCAGCGTATGCAAACAGTAATAGATATGGGTGCCTTTTGCAAATGTTTCGGCAATAAGGGTGCTACAGCTTTGGCTAAAATGGCTAAAATTTGGATACATATATTTTTATTTCCTTGGTTTGTATGTAGAATTTTTATGTAATTTGCACATCCCCTATGTTTACCGCAAAACACAATAATGTCAGCTGATTAAAATGATATCAAATGGAACTTTTATGTAATAGAATGGTGAGCTCACACCTGTGCAATATGTCACACTTTGGACCTCATGTGAAAATGTATGACAAATGGAATTCTATTGTTATCTATGGGGTCTGTTCATTCCTATGCAGTGTGCTGCTGTGCAACTTGAAAAAAAGCTGCAGGTGCATTATTTTTAAGTTTGTGACCACAAACTTCATTTGGAATGTATAAGAACACATAAAAAAACATAAAAAGGCATGTCATCGCAAGGACACACAGAAAACAATTGTTTCCTGTGTGTCCCATTCGCACAACAGCACAGCCCAAGGCTATGCTGCAGAGTGCTACGATAAAGTGCAGACATGCTGCATTTTACCACAGCACACTATACAGAATCACATGGCACTGTACAGCAGTGCATTGCGCTGCTGCACAGTACCATGAATGAAGTGTAGGTTTTGTACACTTCAAATAAAGTTTGTCCAAAACAAAAAAGGGACCTGTGTGATACGCTGAATTGCACACCACACTGCCCCCTATCGCAGCTGGGAACGGACAGCTGCTGGAGAGATAAATCATTCTGGCAGCTGTCTGTTGCTGTGTGCACACAGCCTTAAGCTCACAGTGTACTATGTGCTTTACTATAGGAGAGCTTTATCCCCCCATTCTACATTCTGACACAAGCAGGGGAAAAAGAAAACAGTTTGCATAAATGGTTAGCATAATATTAAGATAAAATTAGCTCAGACTGATCATAGTTACATAATTAGTCTGGCTGGAAAAAGGCAAAAGTCCATCCAGTTCAACCATTAAAAAAAAAGTTATAATCCTATACCCACAGTTGATCCAGAGGAAGGCAAATAAACCCAGCAAAGGACGGTCCAATTTGCTCCTGCAGGGAAAAAAATTATTTCCTAATCCCCCGAGAGGCAATCGGATATTCCCTGGATCAACTTTACCTATAAATGTTAGTATCCAGTTATATTCTGTGTATCTAGGAAACAATCCAGGACTTTTTTTTAAAGCAATCCACTGAGCTGGCCAGAACCAACTCTTAAGGGAGTCTATTCCACATTTTCACAGCTCTCACTGTGAAGAAACCTTTCCGTGTTTGGAGATTACATTTCTTTTCCTTCAGACATAAACAGTGCCAGGGCACAAATTACAACGACAGCGACTTTATCAAAGGTTAAACATTTGCACACCATTGTGTTCACTTGCGTGAGCATTTGATTAGTTTTTTTTTACCCTATTTTTAATGGGGGTTGGGATATGCTCCGTGCAGATCAAATTCAGACACCTCATGCAGCTGTGCAGCAGCAGATTGCTTCTCACTGTAATCTATTGCTGGCTGCAATCAGCCACAATAGATCACTATACAAGTGATCTGCTGGTGCAGGGAGAGGAGCGACAAAGCTGCAACAGCTCTACCCAAACCTCCATACTTACAGGATATGCTGTAATGTCACTACATTCCAAGTGTACGAGGAAGCATGGCAGTATCCAAGCCATATCAAGACACTAGGGACTGACTCAGCCCATATTAATCCACCTTTAAACAAAAATATTACTTTTACGTGGGTTGACCATTTAAATCCCTGGTTCCCAACCTGCAGCCCTTTGGCACTTTTTGTGCAACTTTCGGGCCCTCTGCAAACAATACTCTGTGTTTCTTTATGGCCCAGTATAGCAGTGATTTCTTAGTCTCATGAAAAATGTCTGCAGTCAATGACTGTTTCCTGAAACTTGTTCCCAGTCTCCAACAACTCCTATAGCATGTTCCCAGTCTCCAACAACTCCTATAGCATGTTCACAGTCTCCAACAACTCCTATAGCATGTTCACAGTCTCCAACAACTCCTATAGCATGTTCACAGTCTCCAACAACTCCTATAGCATGTTCCCAGTCTCCCAACAACTCCTATAGCATGTTCCCAGTCTCCCAACAACTCCTATAGCATGTTCCCAGTCTCCCAACAACTCCTATAGCATGTTCCCAGTCTCCAACAACTCTCTATAGCATGTTCCCAGTCTCCCAACAACTCCTATAGCATGTTCCCAGTCTCCCAACAACTCCTATAGCATGTTCCCAGTCTCCAACAACTCCTATAGCATGTTCCCAGTCTCCAACAACTCCTATAGCATGTCCCCAGTCTCCAACAACTCCTATAGCATGTTCCCAGTCTCCAACAACTCCTATAGCATGTTCACAGTCTCCAACAACTCCTATAGCATGTTCACAGTCTCCAACAACTCCTATAGCATGTTCACAGTCTCCAACAACTCCTATAGCATGTTCACAGTCTCCAACAACTCCTATAGCATGTTCCCAGTCTCCAACAACTCTTATAGCATGTTCCCAGTCTCCCAACAACTCCTATAGCATGTTCCCAGTCTCCCAACAACTCCTATAGCATGTTCACAGTCTCCAACAACTCCTATAGCATGTTCACAGTCTCCAACAACTCCCTATAGCATGTTCCCAGTCTCCAACAACTCCTATAGCATGTTCCCAGTCTCCCAACAACTCTTATAGCATGTTCACAGTCTCCAACAACTCCTATAGCATGTTCACAGTCTCCAACAACTCCTATAGCATGTTCACAGTCTCCAACAACTCCTATAGCATGTTCCCAGTCTCCAACAACTCCTATAGCATGTTCCCAGTCTCCAACAACTCCTATAGCATGTTCACAGTCTCCGACAGTCTCCTTCAGCAAGCCAGCAGTCTCTAAGTGTTTCTTCCATCACGTCTGAATTCTATGCCCATCTCTTGTATAATGTCTGCAGATCCCGGCCCATCTCCTGATGGCCCACAGTCTCTCACCATAACTTGTATCATGTCTGCAGTCTCTGACCATCTCTTGTACCATCAGGGGCAGACTGACAACTCATGGGGCCCCCGGGCAATAGGGGATCATGGGGCCCCCTGTGTCCTTGCCCAAACTCAAAAAAGCCTATGAACAAGGTACCAGGGGCATCTCATGGGGCCCCCTACTGACCCTGGGCCCTCGGGTGGTGCCCGAGTTTCCAAATGGTTAGTCCGCCCCTATGTACCATGTCTGTAGTCTCTGAACATCTCCTGTACCACGGCCCGCATACTCTGACCATCACTTGTATCATGTGTGCAGTCTCTAACCATACCTTGTATCACACCTGCAGTCTCTGACCATCTTCTGTATTAAATGCACAATCTTTAGCCATCTCTTGTATCATGCCCATAGTCTTTGACTACATCCTGTTGTGTGTCTGCTGTTTCCGAAACTGAATATTCACTGAATTTTATGTGTGGCCCTTTGGTAAGGTTGGGGGCCACACTTGAGGCTCCATGTTAAGATAATTGGCCTCTGCTGACCTAGATGGATGGGGTGACAGTCCTGCTTTTTCCTTTTTGGAAGTTCCTCTTAAATATCTCCTCTTCCAGACCACTGGCATAGAGAGCAGCTACCCCTCACAGCAAGCCTGATTTCAAATTTCAGGTGCCATGTAGTAGCTCAAGCAAACATTTTTTTTGTAATTATATTAGGTCTAGTTAAAAAAAAATACAGTTAGGGAAAAAGAGAGGACATCTAAAGGGTACATTGTACAATTCATTGGACCTGATAAAATACACGTGGAGGTCAAAATACCAAACCTGGCCATACACAGTGAATTTTGGCCAGTTCTTTGATGGCCTGGATGAAGTTTGAGCCAAGGATGGTCAGCACCCTCACATCCAACATCCCTCAATTTGAAAACTGAAGGAGCCAGATGGAAACTGCTGGATAAATAGAGGTGCATCGAATGAGACACAGCTACTTTTCAGGTATTCTGACAGTCACGGGTGCTGGCAGTCAGAATACAATAGCCATAGTTGCTGTTTAGAGTTGATGGGCAAATCAACAGATTTCTCTAGTTCAGCCCTGCATATAGTGTACGACCAGCTTAAGCTCTTCAAAAGTATTTTTATTCAGTCATAGCAGAGTGTGATCTAGTTTATAAAACTACAACTTTGAAGTCACCATGACTTTGCACTTACACATAACAAAACATACCTACTACAATGCTTGTTATATACAGCGGCTCCATGATCTGGCTTAGCAATGCCCCCTGGACACCAAGGACGCTCCATTTAAGAACCTTGTCGGTGGCGGACATAGAACACACACGGGCAGCTGCTACACTGGGGGGACAGTTAGACAACAGGAGCAAAGAGCCCTTAGCGTGGATGCTCAGAGGTATAGAAGATGCTGGTACCCATGCACTGGAAGAGACAGTAAGACAAAATAGAAGGTCAAAAAAAACCAAAACATATCCATAGGCAGGTAAAAGCCTGACGTCCAGTATGAAACCTTTTTCAGGCAGGCGCACACTTGTAAAGGAGAATCTCAATTAATACCTCTTCTACCAAATGTGGTGCTCAACGTTACTTCATTGCAGAGAACTGAACCCCAAAGTTCAGTGGGAAAATGACCTTTCCAGGAGTGTCAATCTCTGTGGAGTTTGGTCCTCTGCAGCTTCCATTGGTTCCTCCTGCTGATCTCCATGTTACCGCAGGAGAGTAATGATGGGGAAAGCAAGAGGATACCAGTGAGAGCTGTGGGTGACTATAGAGATCAACACTCGTGAAAGTGTTGGTTTACTAGCAGACTTCAGGTAAGCAGTTCTAGGATCCCTGTCTTTCACATGTGCTCTTGCATTGTCACATGGTCTTCTGATGGAGACTGCAAATGAGCATTTCAAAATTCCTGCATGGTCCACTGTTATCACCAACAGGAAACCCACCCTAAAAATACCACGCCACTATCACTGCAGAGCATATAGACAGGAAGTGAACAAAGGATGAAAAACAGGCAAACAAAAATATTTAAAAATAAAAATATGGTATATGTTTATGAAACACTGGGGTTGATTTAGTAAAACTAAAGAGTGCAAAATCTGGTGCAGCTGTGCATGGCAGCCAGATTCTAACTTCAGCTTGTTCAATTAGGTTTTGAAAAAAACAAAACCTGGAGGCCGATTGGCTTCTATGCAGAGCTGCACCAGCTTTTGCACAGCAACCCCACAGTGTCCTAGAAAACAAGATGTTATTCTGGGCGGAGGGCGTACAGTGCTGCTCCCACAAACTTTTCTATTGCCATCAATCACCGTAGGCCTCAATTACATTTGTGGTTGGAGGGGGGGGGGGGGGGGCTGTAAAAACAAGCAGTTGAGATGCATTTTTACCATTCCCCTCAATTGCTCTCCTCTCACTTAAGTAGCAAAGACAGCCGACCGACAGGAATGTACATATGCCGTGCCACGGCCGTGATGCTTTGCAAAAATTATCCTGTCACTTTTAGTGGTTGTGGTTGGAGGGGGGACTGTAAAAACAAGCAGCTGAGATGCATTTTTACCACTCCCCCCAATTGCTCTCCTCTCAATTAAGTAGCAAAGACAGCCGACAGGGATGTACATATGTCGTGCCACGACTGTGATGCTTTGCAAAAATTATCCTGTCACTTTTAGTGGCCAGAACTGCCCACCAAACACAGCCCATTCAACAACTGAATAGGGGTGCCCTGCAACCATGTACAATGCACATGGTTTTGGCACATTATTGCTGCCTTTAGGGGTTAAAACAGCAGTGAGGAAACAATATAACAAATCCTTACCGCCTGTAAAATGTGTGTTCCAACATAGATCGCTCTTTACCCAAAGTTCACATCGAAGCGTTTTCTGCAGTGCTTTGCAGAAAGGCAGTACAGTCCATTAACATGATTTCCTATGGGACATGTTCACATCTCCGCGTTTTCACCCGGTGTTTTTGGAAAGGGTCAGGGACTTTTTTGAATGCACATAGTTGCGTTTTAGGTTTTATAGACTTCAATGAAAACGCTGCAGAAAAGCATGTAGTGCGTTTTTGCAGCGATTTGCGTTTTAAAACTGCCTAGCAACAAGAAAAAGTAAAAAATGAAAACAAAAACGCAAAATGCATCAAAAACGCAATGCAGAAACGGGTCTTATGCAGCCTGCATAGGTGGGAACCTAGCCTTAGAGGGAACTGCATGTCTAAATGAGGCCTTCCTGCTTCTGCATGCAACTTCAGCTTGTATTAACAATTTCACACCCATATGTCACTCACGGGCATGACGTAGTGGCCACTTCTGGCATGCAGCTTAGATAGAGGTACAGGAAAATCTTTGGTTTGAGCATCAGAAATTGGCTGTGCTGCGAGGGACAGAATATGCACTTCTTACGGGCCTCATCCACATTACTATAGTACATGTTGATTTCCTTGTATAGGTACCTATGAACAGAGATAAGAAATAGCTTTAGTACCAAAACAGTGAAAGCCAGAAGCTGGTGCTAGGATGAGATGCTAAAAAATGTTAATCCAGAATCAGTGACAGGATGGTAAATGCAATGAGCAGAGGCAAAAACAGATGAGGATCCAACAGCATAAAAAGTCCGCAAATTGAGCCAGCAAGTGCTGCCTGAACTCTGCAGTTCCACCCTCATCAAACCTTCCCATCATGACACCAGAGTCTAGTTTGTGAACTCCACTCATTTATTTCTACTACTGTTCATCACCTTCCATGCTTTTTGAATGAATATGAGTTTCATAATATTACGTTTTTGTTTTCCCTGTTGGTCAGGGGATTGTACCTGAGCCCTGAAGAAGGAAGTATTTTACTCCTGAAACACATTGGCTTTGCTCCTCATTTAAATAAATTATATTTACAAGTGCTTCCTTAGTGTCGGTGTATACAAATTTCAAGGATTTTTTTCAAAGCCAATACTTCACAGCAATGGCACAGCTCAAAGACTTTATATACTGGCTACTTCGCTGGCCATGGTTGTCGGCTCAACTCAAAGACTCATCTCATTCAAAATATTATATTGGTTACAAAACACTGAAGCCACACAATATAAATCAGGAATTTTAACAATCTTTAGCTGGTTCCTGCCTGTCCTATTGTAGAATGCCTATTGTAGAATTCTTGCTACGAGGCGATCAGTGGTGAGCTGTGTCCCTTGGACATAGAGCAACACTGATGTGGGTAAAAAGCCAATGATGTTGGCTCTTAACCATGTGATCAGTTGTGCTAATCACAGCTGATCACATGTAATCAACGGATCAAATTCAAAATCCTAACACTGACTTACAAAGCTGTCCACCATACTGCCCCAAACTACATCACTGACCTAATATCCAAGTACCGCCCAGCACGCACACTCCGCTCCTCACAAGACCTCCTTCTCTCTAGATCCCTGTCTCCTCCTCCCACACCCGCCTCCAGGACTTCTCCAGGGTGTCACCCACCCTCTGGAACTCCCTGCCCCAACTCATCAGATTATCACCTACTCTCCTATCCTTTTGGCACACCCTGAAAACCCACCTCTTCAGGGAAGCCTACCCCACCCCCTGCTAACTTGCCGACCTCCTCCACTCTTCCTACCACTCCATCCCCCACAGCTATCTCCTCCTGTGCCACCACCCCCTCCCTCCTAGATTGTAAACTCGAAAGAGCAGGGCCCTCGATCCCCTCATGTTTTGCATTGTATTGGTATTGTTCTGTCCCCCTTTGTAATGTACAGCGCTGAGCGAACTATTGGCGCTTTATAAATACTGTATAATAATAATAATAATAATAAACAAATGCCGGTTATCGGCATTTCCTTTCTTCAACACTGTCACTGTCTAAAGGAAGGAAAGCCGATAGCCGGCTTTCCTGTGACGAGGTAAATTCATACAGATAATCAGGGCACTGATTATTAGTGTAGCCCCATCAGTGCAGCATACCTGTGCCCATCAGTGCAGCCCCATCATTGCAGCATATCAGTGCCCATCAGTGCAGCATATCAGTGTCCATCGGTGCCGTCTTATCAGTGCAGCCTCATCAGTGGCCAGCAGTGCAGCCTCATCAGCGCAGTGAAGAAAAATTACTTATTTGCAAAATTTTATAACAGTTTGTTTAGCAAAAAAAAACTCAGTGATTAAATACTACCAAAAGAAAGGTCTATATGTGTTAAAAATTTATAAAAATTTTATTTGGGTATAGTGTTGCACTCCCCTCCCCTTCTTGTCCTGACCCAGAAGGGACCTTATGATGTCACTTCCGGGTCCCAGTTGAGAGATTCCCGACAACATCAATTATTGCAGATAGGCATGGATTAAAAAAGTAGCATTGAACAATACTCAGAATGGATAAGAGAGAGCCAATCAGGCTCTGCTGCATGCACATGTGCTGACAGGGAGAGAGAACATAATAGTTTAACTCATCAGTGCTGGGGTATTTATTTTATCAAGCCATCCTGTTGCAGTGGAGGTCAAGGACCTCGCAGGGGGATGCCGGTATCAAAAGACTAGTTGAACAGAATTACAAATACGTGCCAGGTAAAATGCTTTACAGCCTTAAGATAACTACTGGATATGAATTGCCCCTTTTCTAAAGTTTCTTATCAAAGAGATCTTTAAAGTGGAGTTTTATACATGTTGCAGATTCCTGCGCAGAAAAAATCTGCACGCAATACTAGTGTTGTGGTGTGAACAGGGCATACAGAGAACAATTGATTTTGTTGTACCCTTACATAAGGTGTGCAAAAAAATGATGTCTCTGCACCATGGTATGAATGGGCCCTTACAGCCAAAGAAGCTGCTTCTGTTTGACCTGCAACTGCCATGGTGCTGCACATGTGATCAGTTATGACACCAGCCGTTTGATGGTTTGACAGTTTGGTTGGGGACAAACGCAAATGTAACAGTTAGCAATCCCAGCATTCCAGGAATGTAACTGTTATTTGAAACAGTTAGGCCCCATGTACACGGGACATTTCTGAAAGATGCAAACTGACTGCTGAAAAACGTAGGTTAAAAAAAGTCTGTTTAGCCGTGTTTTTGCATAACGCGTTTTACATTTAGAGGCATTTTTTAAAGCTAAGCACAGGGGAACCTCCCAAATGCCCAGAATGCACTGAAAAGTGGTAAATTATTAACTGTTTCAGAGACATACAGAGAGTAGAAGCAGAGACAGCAGTAGGTGTGTTGAGATTATCTTAGGTGTGAGTTGCTCCTCAACATTTCCTTTGTTTCCAAGGGTGGGAAAGGTGTCTGGTGGAGTGAGTCATCAAGGTCACCCAGCAGGGGGTCTTCATGAGGAATTTGAGGTGTGAATAGTCATTAACATATATATATACATACATCCTGTGTTCAGTGTTTTGTCCATCTGAGTACCTTTAAAAGCGCTTTGCATGCAATTTTCATGATGAAAAAAGGCTCTGGACAGCATCGGGAACTGGAAGTTAAAAAAAATTTCAAACGCAAAAGCTTATAAACGTGATTTGCCTCGTTTAGCCGCGTTTACAAGCATTTTGCGTTTCAAACGCTGATAAAATCAGCTGCTGAAAGCAAGTTTTCTGCATTTAAAAAAAACCACTGTAAACTCAAATGCCTGTAAACGAAGATGTGTACATGGACACATAGGAAAACATTAGGGTGAGTTCAGGGGCTGCTGAAGAAAACACTGAACAGCTCCTAAACGTGAGTTTATCAGCTGCTGTGTACATGAACCCTTAAGTTCATGGGTTTAGTTGCGCTTTATGATTTACGTCTGTTCAGGGGCTCTGGTCTTTAGCAAAACGGCAGCCTCCAGCAAGAAGAAACAGGAGCAATGCTGGGGGCAGTTTATAGCACACACTTCTTTTAGTAGCACAATTATTAATGTGGATTGTATGTTCCTTGCTAAAGAACAGTATTTTTTATCAAGTTGTTATGGGTAAAGTTCAGTTTTAACTGCAAATGTCACCTACTTACAATTTTATGTCAGTTTCTGAGCATGGGGGGGCTCTAACATGTAAATGAGCTGTTTTTTGAAGCCGGATACCTTGAATATTTGCCTTCTGTCTGCATCAATTCAGAGGAAGCAATGTTGTGCGCACCTCTAACACTATACCATGCTGAGGAGGAGCCAAACCCAGGTCCTTCCACCTGAATTTATTTTACAGAAACATTTATAGTTTTTTGATAGTACATTTTTGTTATTTTGTAACCCTTTATGCATAAATTGTGCTTAGTAATGTTCTTTGACAAAATGAAAAGAGAATAAAAAATCTTTTATGTCTCACCTTACCAGGGCCCTTCTTGCCACAACCAATGCATGGCTATCATGAACCAGGAGACCCTGGTACTCCTGCCAACCCTGGTAGCTGGTCACCCCAGTCCCTAGAGCCACCACCTCATAAGTATCCTCATTTGCTTGCCCACCAGGTACATCTGTAAATAAGAAACATACAGCAATTACTGACAGGGGCACACAGCTGGCTCTCTTTTCTGCAGGAAACCATTCCTCAGCTTGTTAGCTGCGTTTACAAGCGTTTGGCATTTGAAACGCTGATAAAATCTAATCCTGAACACAAGTTTTCTGCATTCAAAAAAATGACTGTAAACTCAACTGCCTGTAAATGCCTGTAAACGACGATGTGTACATGGACACATAGGAAAACAATAGGGAGAGTTCAGCGGATGCTGAAAAAAAATGCTGAACAGCTCCTAAACGTGAGTTTATCAGCTGCAGTGTACATGAGTCCTTAGGGTTAAGTGAAGAACAGCTTTCAGAGTACGTGGGGATTGCGATTTCAGAATAGGTCTACTTTAAAGCCTAACTGATCTCTTATTCTTTAAATAGCAGCTAGGGCCTGAGTAGAAAAGCCAGTTACTTGCCAGCATGCTGCAGAGAAGAACCTTACTCTATGTGGAAGCAGTGGTAACTCTGCAGGGGTGCAACACACCTCCTGCTGTTTTAGACCTGTAGCTCTGCAATCAGTAAACTCATGTTCCGCGCAGATTGAAGCGCATGCAGAGACACCAATGTTTCCACACAGAAAGCAAAATCCTCAGGCTGTGGCTGCTTTCTAAAGAAAAAGAACTGCAAGATTCCAACATCCCTGGCCCTCCTCTTCTCTGCTGACATTCTAACCTGACCTTTTTCAGGTTCAACTATTTAGCTATTTAGACCAGCCAGCCTGGAATGATGTAGCACCTGCACATGTGCACAGGATTTATGTCATCTCCCAATGCCAAGATGTGCCAAGTTGTTACACTAAGCCAGGGGTAGGCAACCTTTAAGAGGTGAAGATCTACCTGAGGAACATGGAGATCAAAGATCACCGGGGTGCGCCTTCTTATTTAATTCAAAGAAACTTGCTAGCAAGCCCCCAATAATAAGTAAGGACCTATCGTTCCTGCTGCGGCCACAAACCAAAGCATCATGGCTGCAGCATGTCTACACCCCCGGCCGTTGCCTCTGCAGCTAAACAGGGGAGTGGTTGGAAGATAGTAAAACTGCTCCTCCCACTTCTCTCCTTCGCTGTCCTCCCATCTGTCTCTCTCCTCCCCTACTCTGCCCGGATTTCTCTTTCACTGTTTCTCCTGGTTGGCTCTCTCCTCCCCTACTCCAGAACTTCTCACACTGCTCCCCCAAGCTCTCAGCTCAGTGTGAGGGCAAGTCTCCTCCCTTGCTCTCCCACCCGGTTCTCTCCTTCCCTGCTCCTCCCACCCCTCTCTCTCCTCCCCTACTCCTTCTGTTTCTCCTCTTTCTGCTCCTCCAGGTTCTCTCCTTCTCTGCTCCTCCCACCCATCTCTCTCCTTCCCTGCTCCTCCCACTTCTCTCCTTCACTGCTCCTCCCACCTGTCTCTCTCCTCCCTACTCTGCCCGGATCTCTCTTTCACTGTTTCTCCCGGTTGGCTCTCTCCTCCCCTACTCCAGAACTTCTCACCCTGCTCCGCCAAGCTCTCAGCTTAGTGTGAGGGCAAGTCTCCCTCCCTTGCTCTCCCACCCTGTTCTCTCCTTCCCTGCTCCTCCCCCCCTCTCTCTCCTCCCCTACTCCTTATGTTTCTCTTCCTTTTCCTGCTCCTCTCACCTGTCTCTCTCCTCTCTCTACTCCTCCTGGTTCTCTCCTTCCCTGCTACTCCTACCCAGCTCTCTCTCTCCCCTGCTCTGGAACTTCTCACCGTGCTCCACCAAGCTCTCAGTTCAGTGTGAGAGCAAGTCTCCTCCTTTGCTCCCCCCACACAGTTCTCTCCTTTTCCTCCCCTGTTCCCCCCCCCAACCCTCTCCTTCTCTCTTTTCCTCCCCTGCTCCTTTCACCCGTCTCTCTCCTCGCCTTCCCTCCCAGTTCTCGCTTTCCCTGCTCCTCCTGCCTGTCTCTCTCCTCCCCCTACTCCTCCTGTTTCTCTCCCCCTCCTCCTCCCCACCCATCTCCTCCCCTACGCCTCCTGGTTCTCTCCTCCCCTGCTCCCCCGCTCCCTCCTCCCTCCTCCTTTCATTCCTCTCCTTTCCTGCTCCTCCCCACCCGTCTCTCTCCCTCCTACTCCTCCCACCCAGCTCTCTCCTCCCCTGCTCTGGAACTTCTCACCGTGCTCTGCCCCCCTCTCTCAGCTCAGTGTGAGAGCAAGTCCCCTACCTTGCTCCCCCCACCAGGTTCTCTCCTTTTCCTCCCTGCTCCTTTCACCTGTCTCTCTCTCCCCCCCTACGCCTCCCAGTTCTCTCCTTCCCTCTCCCCCCCCGCTCCTCTCTTCCCCTCTCCTCCCCCCTTCCCCCCCCTCCTCTCTCTTTCCCTTCTGCTCCTCCCCCCCCATCTCTCTCCCTCCTCTCCTCCTCTCCTCCCTTCTCTCCTCTCCTTTCCTGCTCCTCCCACCCAGCTCTCTCCTCCCCTGCTCTGGAACTTCTCACCTCTTTTCTGCCAAGCTCTCAGCTCAGTGTGAGAGCAAGTCCCCCTACTCTCGCTCTCCCACCAGGTTCTCTCCATCCCTGCTCCTCCAGCTTGTCTCTTCCCCCGCTCTTTCCACCTGTCTCTCTCCCCCCCTCTCCTTCCCCTGTCCTCTCTCCTTCCCTGTTCTTTCCACCTCTCTTCTCCCCCTCCTCCCTTTCCACCCCTCCCCCCCTCCTCTCCCCCCCGCCCCCTCCCGATTCTCTCCTTCCCTGCTCCTCCTTACTCAGTCTCTCTCCTCTCCTCTCTTTACTACTCCGGCTCTCTCCTCCTGCTGTGTTTCCACCCCTCTCTCTTCTCCCCCCTGCCTCCCGGTTCTCTCCTTCTTCTTTGCCCTCCCCCCTCACCTCTCCTCCCCTCTCCTCCCGCCCCCCTCTCTCCTCTCCTCTCTCCTCTCCCCCAGTTTTCTCCTTCCCTGTTCCCCTCCCCTTCCTCCTCCTCCCCCCTCCCCCTCTCTCCTCCCCTGCCCTCCTTCTGCCCATCTCCCCCTTCCTTCCCCCCCTCTCCTTCTGCCCCCTCTCTCCCCCCCTGCTCCTCCTGCCCTCTCTCCCCTTGCCTCTCCTCCTCCCTTCCTCCTCCTTCCTCCCCTCCCCTGCCTCCCCCGTCTCCTCTCCCCCTCCCCCCCCCGTGCCCCTCTCCCTCCTCCCTGCCCCCTCTGCCCCTCTCCCTCCTCCCCCTCCCCCTCCTCTCCCCTCTCTCCCCCTGCCCTCCTCCTCCCTCCTGCCCTCTCTCCTTCCCTGCTCTCCCTCCCCCGTCTCTCTCCTCCCCTGCTCCCCACCCCCCTCCTCCCTCTCTCCTTCCACTTCCCTTCCCTCCAGTCTCTCTCCTTTCCTCCTGTACTCCCTCCTCCTTCCTTGCCTTCCCCTGCTCCTCGCCCCCCGCCTTTTTTCCCCTCCCCCCCCCCCCCCCTTCCTCTCCCCCCTTTCCCCCATGTCTCTCCCTCCCCCCCTACTCCTCCCTCCCAGTGCTCTCCTTCCCCCTCCTCCTGCCCATCTCTCTCCTTCCCTGCTCCTTCCACCCCTCTCTCTCCTCCCATGCTCCCCTCCACCTGTCCCTCTCCTCCCTTGTTTTTTACTCCTCCCCCCTCCTCCTCCGTTCTTTCCACTTGTCTCTCTCCTCCCTCTGTTCTTTCCTTCCCTCCTTTCTCCTCCCCTTTCTTCTTTCCCCCCTTCTTTCTCCTCCCCTAACCCTCTAGGTTCTCTCCTTCCCTGCTCCTCCTGCCCGTCTCATTCCTCCCCTGCTCCTCCTGCCCGTCTCCTTCCTCCCCTGCTCCTCCTGCCCATCTCTCCCCTCCATCCTCCTCCCGTTCTCCCCTTCCCTTCTCCTCCCACCTTGTCTCTCTGTACCTGCTCCTTCCTTTTCTCTCCTTCCCTCCTGTTCCACCCCCTCTCTCTCTCTCCTCCCCTGCTAAGCCCTGTGTTCCTCTCGCCCTTCTATCTCTCTCCCCCCCGTTCCCCCCGAGTCTCTCCTCCCCTGCTCCTCCTGTCCATCTCTCTCCTTCCCTCTCCTCCTGCCTCTTTCTCTCTCTTTCCCTGCTCCTCCTCCCGTCTCTCTTCCCTTTCCCTCCCTCCCCTGCTCCTTCCCTGCCCGCCCCCCCGTCTTTCTCCTCCCTCCCCTGCTACTTCCACTCGTCTCTCTCCCCCCCTTTCTCTTTCCACCCTTCTTTCTCCTCCCCTACACCTCTAGGTTCTCTCCTTCCCTGCTCCTCCCCCCATCCCTCTCTCATTCCTCCCCCTGCTCCCCCTGCCCATCTCGCTCCTCCCCTTGCTCTCCTTCCCTTCCTCCTTCTCTTCTTTCTGCCCATCTCTCTCCTCCCCTGCTCCTTCCGTTTCTCCCCTTCCCCGCTCCTCCCACCCATTTCTCCCTCTCCCTACTCCTCCCGGTTTTCTCTTTCCCTTTCTCCCCCTCTTCCTTTCTCTCCTCCCCCCCGGGTCTCTCCTCCCCCTCCTCCTCCCTGCCCTCCCTGCCTTCCTGCCATCTCTCTCCTTCCCTGCTCCTCCTGCCCCTCTCTCTCCTTCCCTGCTCCTCCTGCCTGTCTCTCTCCTTCCCTCTCCTCCAGCCCGTCCTCTCCCTTTCCTTCCCTCCTCCTGCCCTCCCCTTCCTCTCCTCCCCCCTGCTCTTCCACCCATCTCTCCCCTCCCCTGCTCTTTCCTTTCTACCCATCTCTCTCCTCCCCCTCTGCTCTTTCCACCCATCTCTCTCCTCCCCTGCTCTTCCACCCATCTTTCTCCCCCCCCCCTTTCCTCTTTCCACCCTTCTTTCTCCTCCCTTGCTCTTTCCACCCTTCTTTCTCCTCCCTTGCTCTTTCCACCCTTCTTTCTCCTCCCCTGCTCTTTCCGCCCTTCTTTCTCCTCCCCTGCTCTTTCCCTGCTTTCTTTCTCCCTCCTCCTGCTCTTTCCGCCCTTCTTTCTCCTCCCCTGCTCCCTTTTTCCACCCTTCCCCCTTCTCTCCCCCTATGCCTCTAGGTCTCTCCTTCCCTGCTCCTCCCACCAACCTTTCTCTTTTCCTCCCGTTTCTCCTCTCCGTCCCCCCTTCTCTCTCCCCCGTCTTCCCTTCTGCCTCCCGCCCGTCTCATTCTTCCCCTGCTCCTCCTGCCCATGTCTCTCCTCCCCTACTCCTCCCAGTGCTCTCCTTCCCTGCTCCTCCTGCCCATCTCTCTCCTTCCCTGCTCCTTTCACCCATCTCTCTCCTCCCATGCTCCCTCCACCCGTCTCTCTCCTCCCTTGTTTTTTTTACACCCGTCTCTCTCCTCCCCTGTTCTTTCCACTTGTCTCTCTCCTCCCTGTTCTTTCCACCCTTCTTTCTCCTCCCCTGCTCTTTCCACCCTTCTTTCTCCTCCCCTAACCCTCTAGGTTCTGTCCTTCCCTGCTCCTCCCGCCCGTCTCATTCCTCCCCTGCTCCTCCTGCCCATCTCTCTTCTCCCCTGCTCCTCCAGTTTCTCCCCTTCCCTGCTCCTCCCACCCGTGTCTCTCTGTGCCTTGCTCCTTCCTTTTCTCTCCTTCCCTGCCTGTCCCGCCGCTCCTCCCGGTTCTCTCCTTCCCTGCCCCTCCCACCTGGTTCTCTCCTTCCCTGCTCCTCCCGCCCATCTCTCTCCTCCCCTGCTCTGAAACTTCTCACCCTGCTCTGCCAAGCTCTCACTCTAACAGCACTGGGGAGGAGCAGTTTAAACCAGGCTCGGCAATGCAGAGATGCCATCTGCCCGTCACCTGGCCACGGTCGAAGGGTAGATCACAATGGACGGGTTTGTACACCCCAGCACTAAGCCATGAATACACAGCTCAGTGTACAAACTAAAAATGTTTGCTAGCAGACAAATAAGAAGCATTTATTATAAAAGAGAGGTTATTTTTTTTTTTTTTTACACTAAAGCTGGAGTGAAAAATCAGGCTCACTGCTGCATAGAATCCGATCAGCTTCCAGGTTTTATTGCCGAAGCTTACTTGAACAAGCTGAAGTTAGAAGCTGATTGGTTTCTATGCAGAAGTGGAAATGATTTTGCACTCTCCAGCTTTAGTAAATAAACACCATAGTAGAGACTCTCCAGCAATAAATGCCTTCCTTTTAGCATTTTTTTTATTTGAAGTGACATTAAACTCTGCATTAAAAAACAAATCTATTCAAGTTTTATTCTTAAAAAGTACCTTATATTTCTTTCAGCCTTCTCAAAATCTGCAAATTCTTTTTTTTTTTTCTGTGATCTGACTTCCTCTTACAAGGTTGCGGTTTGTTTTCCATGGTCCTACAGCGTGTAGAAAAGTAGCCACCTCATCCTACGCACTCCCACAATGAACTAGGGACTATGAGATGTGTAACGTGCACAGAGCAGTGCACATAACTGCAACTAACCTGCACTGCACCTCGTTCCAAACAAATGGAAGTGAGAGGGAAAAGAGAGGTTCAGGAGCTCACAGGGGACATTACAAGGAGGCAGAAAACACTGTAATGCTTTCATGAAAAATAGATTACTATATATGGATTATATTGTCTATGGAGATGGATTATTTTGGAGGATAAGGAAATAGTTTAGTGTCACTTTAAAATTAAATTTCCACTTTAAATGCTCATCATTACTCAGGGTTTTAATAATAAAATGTCCAACAACGCCACCATCAAACCCGCCCCGCAGGCCAGAGTACTTGGTGTCATTCTGGACTCCAACCTATCCTTCCAGCCCCAAGTCCAATCTTTAACAAGCTCGTCTAGACTCCACCTCCACAACATCGCCAAAATCCGCACGTTCCTAACCCCAGAAACCACTAAACAGCTCATCCACTCCCTCATCATATCACGACTCGACTACTGCAACTTCCTCCTCACTGGCCTGCCTCGCCGCTGGGTATCCCCGCTTCAGTCGATCCTGAATACAGCTGCCAGACTCATTCACCTTTCCAACCGCTCCATCTCCGCCACCCCCCTCTGCCAATCCTCCACGGCTTCCGATTGCGCAACGGATCAAATTCAAAATCCTAACACTGATGTACAAAGCCCTCCACCACACTGCTCCGAACTACATCACTGATCTAATATCCAAGTACCACCCAGCATGCACACTCCGCTCCTCACAAGACCTCCTTCTCTCTAGTTCCCTGGTCTCCTCCTCCCATGCCCGCCTCCAGGACTTCTCCAGAGTGTCACCCATCCTCTGGAACTCCCTGCCCCAACCAATCAGATTATCACCTACTCTCCTCTCCTTTAGGCGCACCCTGAAAACCCATCTCTTCAGGGAAGCCTACCCCACCCCCTGCTAACTTGCCGACCTCCTCCACTCTTCCTACCACTCCATCCCCCACAGCTATCTCCTCCTGTGCCACCATCCCCTCCCTCCTAGATTGTAAGCTCCAAGGAGCAGGGCCCTCAATCCCCTCATGTTTTCCCTTGTATTGTTATTGTTCTGTCACATGTTCTGTGCCCCTTTGTAACGTACAGTGCTGAGCGAACTATTGGCGCTTTATAAATACTGTATAATAATAATAATAATAAAAGCATCAACCAATGTCACAAACTCAAGACTGCAAAAAAACACAAAAATGAAGGGTCATATCTGGTCACTCCCTTACACGCAGCGCTGACTGACTACCCACCTTTCCCTAGGATGAAAGCCGCCAGGTTGGTCCTGTGTTTGTAATAGTCACTGTCACCCAGTAGACGGTGGAACAAAGCATAGGCCACAGCCGCACATCTCTTTTCGTGAGTTATAAAATCCTCTGCAAGAGAAAACAAGTTAAACAGCCAAAGCAAATCTCAAGCACCTCACACCTTCCTGAGCAACGCAGAACTGGATTGTGACTTTGTTTGGTTTGTTTTATTCTAGGTTTACAGTACCCAGGAATTATGAGGAAAAATACAAGGGTACAGCCATGTATAAAAGTTGTATTTTCCAGCAGCACGGTCACGTGCTTTCCGTCCTGCAAAATGATGGCTCATGAAAGGTAGAGGTACTAGTTACTTGACTACATACAGTGGATATAAAAAGTCTACACACCCCTGTTAAAATGTCAGGTTTCTGTGATGTATAAAAATGAGACAAAGATAAATAATTTCAGAACTTTTTCCACCTTCAATGTACCCTTTAAACTGTACCACTGTTGAACGACAAACTGAAATATTTTAGGTGGAGGGAAGCGAAAATAAAAAAAACTAAACAAATATGGTTGCATAAATTTGCAAACCCTTAAACTAATACTTTGCTGTAGGATGTGACTAAGAAAATGTCAGGAAAGACCTACTAGAACAGCTGAACTTTATTTGGGGTTAATCAGGGGCACTTTAAATGATGGCAGGTGTGTACTGACTCCTATTTAACATGATTTTGAACGTGATTGCTTACCTCTGAACACAGCTACATCCCCAGTTATAAGAAGGTGTGCACACTTATGCAACCACATTATTTTTAGTTTTTCATGTTTACTCCCCCCCCTCCCAAAAAAAAAAAAAGATTTTAGTTTGTTTTTCAGTTGAGTTGTACAGTTTATAGGTCACATAAACCACTTCCCGTCTGACCCAGGTACATAAACGGCTGGACGGGAGCAGTGCAGGAGTGGGTTACCGTTTACAAATGGAGCCTGCATTATTATTATACAGGATTTATATAGCATCAACAGTTTGCTCAGTGCTTTACAATAGAACGGGAGACAATATAGCAACAATACAGTTCAATACAAGAGGGATAGAAGGGCCCTGCTCCTTGGAGCTTACAATCTAACATTTACAGCCTGTGCGCGCTCCCTGGGAGCGATCCGGTGCACACTGTGTCCGATTGCTGTACGTGGGACCTCTGTGTGAGGTCCCGATTCATTTGATCACTGATTGGCCAATCAGTGATCACATGAATAGTAATAAGCAAGATGTCACTTCTGACATCATTACTTACTACGTGTAAAATCTGTGAATGATCACAGAGGTCACCTGGTACAAGACTATTCACAACAGCCTTGTACCATGTGACAAGCTGTGACCAATCACAGCTCACAGAGTATTTCTCAATGGCTGCAAGAATGCAGTCAGAGAGCAGGAGAAATTATCACTTTTACAGCCTTTATGGGTGTAAAAGCAATCAGTGTAAAAAAAAAAAAAAAAAAAAAATTTCATCACTCCCCACAAGTAGTACAGTGTCACTATGGTGGCACTGTACTGCTAGGGTGACAGTATGTAAAAAAAACAAAAAAAAAAAACAAGTAATAATATATAAAAAAATAAAAATACCATATTTTTCGCTCCATAAGACGCACCTGACCATAAATACGCACCTAGGTTTTAGAGGAGAAAAAAAAGGAAAATAAAATTCTGAACCAATGGAGTGCGGACACAGTACAGGGGATGACCAGAGACTGCGGACACTGTACAGGAGAAGACCAGACTGCGGACACAGTACAGGGATGACCAGAGACTGCGGACACAGTACAGGAGATGACCAGACTGCGGACACAGTACAGGGGATGACCAGAGACTGCGGACACAGTACAGGGGATAACCAGACACTGCGGACACAGTACAGGGGATGACCAGAGACTGCAGGACATAGGACAAGAGACAGAGATGACCAGAGACTGCGGACATACTACAAGAGATGACCAGAGACAGCGGACATAGTACAGGGGATGACCAGAGACTGCTGACACAGTACAGGGGATGACCAGAGACTGCAGACACAGTACAGGGGATGACCAGAGACTGCGACACAGTACAGGGGATGACCAGAGACCAGAGCAGACATAGTACAGGGGATGACCAGAGACTGCTGACATAGTACAGGGGATGACCAGAGACTGCTGACACAGTACAGGGGATGACCAGGAGATGCTGACACAGTACAGGGGATGACCAGAGACTGCGGACATAGTACAGGGGATGACCAGAGACTGTGAACATAGGACAGGGGGATGACCAGAGACTGCGCTCACAGTACAGGAGATGGCCAGAGACTGCGGACACAGTACAGGGGATGACCAGACACTGCGGACACAGTACAGGGAATGACCAGAGACTGCGGACACAGTACAGGGAATGACCAGAGACTGCGACTGCAGACACAGTACAGGGAATGACCAGAGACTGCGGACACAGTACAGGGAATGACCCGAGACTGCGGACACAGTACAGGGAATGACCAGAGACTGTGGACAGAGTACAGAACACTAGAGACTGCAGACAGTGCAGGGGATGACCAGAGACTGCAGACAGTAAAGGAGATTACCAGAGACTGCGGACCTTTGGGGAGGGAGGGGGAGTGGGTACCTGAATTTGACAGGTACCTGCTCCCACTTCTGTGGAGTTGTCCTTCCTTTTTCTTCCCGCGGCGGCTTCTGTGAGAGCCGGGTGCCCACTGCGCATGCGCGAGAAGCTCTGCGCTTTGTGAATGGCCCGGAGCCTTCTGGGACCTGTCATGTGTCCCAGAAGACACCGGACCATTCACAAAGCACGGCGCTTCTCGCGCATGCGCAGTGGGCGCGCCGGCTGTCACAGAAGCTGCTGCAGGAAGACTGCAGTGCTGGAGTGAGGAACAGGTAAGGTCCTGCAGGAGAGAACAGTTGAGAGAGCAGCCGGCCCGGTATTCTGACATGGTGGCTGCAGAAATACCGGACCGGCCGCTTTACATTCGCTCCATAAGACGCACTGACATTCCCCCCCCCCTTTTTTGGGGGAAAAAAAAAGTGCGTCTTATGGAGCGAAAAATACGGTATACAAAAAATTTGAAAATTTTTAAATTTTGGTTATAAACTAATTTGGGCTATTTTTTTTCACTAAAAAGATAACTGAATACATTTTGGCCAAAATTTATGAAGAAATATTAATTATTTGAAAAAGTTTATAAGAAAAACACTTTTTTCAAAATTTTTGGACTTTTTCATTTATATAGCAACAAAATTAAAAATCCCAGTGATGAATAAATACCACCAAAATAAAGTTTTATCTGTCTCAAAAAATGCTAACAAATTCATATGGGTACAGTGTTGCATGACCGCGCAATTGTCATTCAAAGTGTGATAGCGCTGAAAGCTGAAAATTGGCCTGGGCAGGAAGGGGGTGAAAGTGTCCGGACTTCAAGTGGTTAAAGGTGAAAAAAGTTCTGAAGTAATTTCTCTTTGTCTCATTTTTTTTACATCACAGAAACCGGACATTTTAACAGGGGTGTGTAGACTTTTTATATCCACTGTAGATGCTATTTAGTGACCATGCACTCCTGTATCCAGTAAAGGTTTACTTAGGTAGCTGCAAGGCTGTGTATTTGGCATCATATGGTGCTTGCTCTTAATTCATCAATAATCCCCGCAACACAAATCCATCACAGAGACCCAAAACTTGCTGTGCAAATGCTGACATTACACAAGGCTAAGAACACTCCTATGCCATCCTGTAACATTGTTCAGGGCCAGTCAACTGATTTTCACTGCCGATCAGTGGAAGAGAGTCTCGTGTATTATTTTTATCACCAGGATCTGGAGGCTGTTCGGATCAGTGCACAGAATCGAATTTATAGATGTTTATACTCACCTGAGCCCGATCTTAATCCAGCGATTTACACGAGAGCGGAAGCTCAACCGGTTCTCTGCCTCTGCATTGGCTAAGATACAGCCATCGGCTCCTGCTGCTGTCAATCACAGTCACTGAGGCGGGAGCGGGGGCATGGGGCCAAGCCACGCTCTGTGTCTCAGACACACAGAAGCGGCTTGGAATCAAGCTTGCACGAGTGCCTCCAGAGCAAGCAGCTTGCTCTGGGGGCACTCAGCAGAAGGGAGGGGCCTAGAGCACCAGCAGGGGACCCAAGATGAGAAGGATCAGGGCTGCTCTGTGCAAAACCCTTGCACAGCATCAGGAAAGTATGACATGTTTTTATATTAAAAAATAAAAAAATCGGAACCTTTACAATCACTTGAAGGGAGTATGAATGGACTACAAGTGCATTGATCAGCATGCTTGCAGCCCACTAAGAACTAAAAGCCATCTACCACAGTCGCAGATGGAACCTGTAGTTTATTATTTACAGATCCCTGCGAAAGAATGACGAGGCTGTGGGTGTAGAGCCCCGACAATTTTAAAAAATGTGACAGCAACTACAGGGGAAATGAACCCTACATTTTGTCGCAGTGGAAGGTGGTCAGGGGAAAAAGGGGGCAGGAGGTGGAAAATATTATATAAATAAATGCAGTGAGCGCCCAGGGAGGAAGGAAACAACAGCCACTAGCACAAAAGGACAACCCACTATATCCTCATAAACAAATGGTAAAAAGAAAGTGCAGCGCTATAACGAATGACATATAAAAGAAATTGCAGCGCTATGGTGCAGCACTATAATATAAACATAAATGGTGACTTAGGTGAGCAAATAATATATAAATAGATATTATATATGAATCAAGTGCAGCGCTATGGTGACAATATATAGATAGGTATTATAAATGAATAAAGTGCAGCGCTATAGAGACAACATATGAATAGTGACTTAAGTGAGCAAATTAATAAAAGATACAGATAAATGAAATGATTGAATGACCAATGATCGAATTCTTCTATAGTGTCCAAAAATAGATCATGACATCATCAGGTGATAGGTGAATCCGTGACAAATTCTTCCTTCTAATGCACTCACCAGAAGCACATAGTTAACGCGCATTAAGAACAGCAATAAAAACTCCTCCACCAGGTCAGCCTTATCCACCGCCAGGTATAAGCAAAGAAAATGCACAGCTCTCATGCACCAGAGACAGGAGATTCTCCCAACAGATTGTTCAATCCTCAGCAATAAAACATGCCCCACCTTGAAGGGAACAGCTCACAAACAGAACCCAGAGAAAGAAAGTGCTTATGGTGCAGTATTTTGATTGAGTATGTGAAAGAATGCACGTGGAGCAATAAATCAGGGTTACGAACTTACAAACATCACCATCGTATGGACGCAGCGGCGTGATGTCAGCACGTAGGCTCTTCCCTGACAGCTGAGGATTGAACGATCTGTTGGGAGAATCTCCTGTCTCTGGTGCATGAGAGCTGTGCATTTCCTTTGCTTATACCTGGTGGTGGATAAGGCTGAAGATCCATTATCTCTATGCGCTCAAGGACTCAGATCAAACAGGCGTTAGTGACAAGCAGCGTGTTGTGTATTCATTCACTGGTGATCAGAGGTTGTGCAGCTCTATCATGAAGCTGGGGAAGCTAATAAAACTGTAGAGGAAGATGAAAGAAAGAGCGCACAAACCTTGCGCATTACCTCAATAAATAGTGACTAATTTTATTAATAAGGAAATATACTCACAAAATGATTGTATAACAGGCATAAGTAACCATAATCCAAACAGGGTTACAGGTAAATCAAAAAAAGGGGGGGGGGGATGAAGGCTAACGCATTTCGAAGAGTGCTTCCCTTCTTCATCAGAGCTGGGTTTGGCAGATAGAAACTTCAGTATGGCAGAGTTCCCACGGCAAGGAGATATTCAGCCACTGAGTGTCAGTATTACAGCAGTTCAGTAAACAGGCTGAACTGCCTGTTGAGCACCCTTCAAAACGCGTTAGCCTACACCCCGCCCCTTTTTTGATTTACCTGTAACCCTGTTTAGATTATGGTTACTTATGCCTGTTATACAATAATTTTGTGAGTATATTTCCTTATTAATAAACTTAGTCACTATTTATTGAGGTAATGCGCAAGGTTTGTGCGCTCTTTCTTTCATCTTCCTCTACAGGTGGATAAGGCTGACCTGGTGGAGTTTTTATTGCTGTTCTTAATGCGCATTAAATATGTGCTTCTGGTGAGTGCATTAGACAGAAGAATTTGTCACGGATTCACCTGATGTCATGATCAATTTTTGGACACTATAGAAGAATTTGATCATTGGTCATTCAATCATTTCATTTTTCTGTATCATTCATTCATTTGCTTACTTAAGTCACTATTCATCTGTTGTCACCATGGGGTTTATTTACTAAAGCTGGAGAGTCCAAAATCAGAATCCCTTCTGCATAGAAACCAATCAGCTTCTAACCTCAGCTTGTTCAATGAAGCTTTGGCAATGAAACCTGGAAGCTGATTGGTTTCTATGCAGAAGTGAGTCTGATTTTGGACTCTCCAGCTTTAGTAAACAAACCCCCATAGGTCTGCAATATAGCGCTGCACTTTATTCATTTAAAATATCTATTTATTTATTATTTGCTCACCTAAGTCACCATTTATATGTTTATCAGGAATGTGCAAATCATATCGCCCAACGCCCGGGACATACAGTTCCGGGCGCCGGGCAGGTGGTTTTCTTTGACATTTAGCCCTGCTGCGGGCAAGCAGATGATGAGCCTCGGGGAGCCGTGCACTTTACTACAGGGGATATGAGCAGCTCTAGTCCGGCTTACTGTCAGTGTGATAATGATCGGTGTGTTTCCCCCTTCCACTCCTCTGCCTCTCCCCCCTCCCTTTCCCCGGTTTGCAATGCTCAGCGTGACAGCTCGGCTCTCCCAGACTCCATGTCTGCTGCATGTAAAGCCTTGCGAGAACCTTCGTCCTCCTTCCCACCCCCTCCTCTACTACTCAGTGTCCCAGGACTGAGACCTCAGCACTCAGCACACTTTGAACACCTCTGGGAAGGTGTCTGCTTTTAGGATTTCTCTTTACACAAGATATGTAATCCTAGAGGAGTTATTAAGGTGTCCTTTTGTGAAACAGAGATCAGCGGCGATCCTAAGGATCATTGCTGATCTCAGATCATTAGTGGTTTAGGAAACAGAGATGATCAGCGGAGAACATGTTCTCCGCTGATCATCTCAGCACACAGATGGCCAGTGTATGAAGGAGTGATGTCAGCCCTTCACTGGCAATCTGTGTTCTCCCTCTAGATTATCCAGCCCAGAGGTGGAGAATCGGGGGAACCGTAAGCGAAGCAGAGGTAATTTACTGCCGCTTAGTGAACGGTGTTTGACTGATCTCGTATTGTAATCTAGTGAGATTATAGTAACAGCAGCCGTTTTCCAGAGTTCAAAGCATTTGTAGATTGCTTCTCCCTTCATTAGGAGAAGCAATCCACATTGCTTCATAAAAAGGCATTCAGAGGAGAACTCAGCCACGGTCATTTACCACTACATGATAAAAAGGACACCTCAGTCTGCTAATTGGAGCTGTATCACTCTCCAGACCCACAGAAAGCATTAAGAAGACTGCATCAATCTAATCCAGCAAATAAATCAAATTCTCCTCCAACAAGTTATTGTGGTGGATCTGAGTGGAAAGTAGATATTTTCACTGGTTCTGGAGGAGAGTAGTGACATTTAATAAAATCAGAGAAAAACAAATGGAATTCTATGAGCAATTTCAGAGATCAGCCTTCCCCTTCCCCCAGAAGAGGCAGACAGCTTGACAGCTTCACTCAGCAGATCTAGCCCACTACACTTACCATGTTTTTTGCTCCATAAGACGCACCTGACCATAAGACGCACCTGACCATAAGCGCACCTGACCATAAGACGCACCTAGGTTTTAGAGGAGGAAAACAAGAAACAAAATATTCTGAACCAATCGACTACAGACACAGTACAGGGGATGACCAGAGACTGCGGACATCACCTACAACTCTGATCGCCACTCCATCTACCTTTTAATATGCCACCTCTACTCCTCCTTTTCATATTACTATCCTGTGTTCCCAAAATCTAATTTCTCCACCCCAAAACTTATACATCTCACCCTCACTGCTACCATCTCCCTACTACTGCTCTCATCACCTCCTGGTGATACTTTACTCTCCTGCTGACCCAAACACCAGGACAGGAAGGCATACATCCCGCTCCCATGTTACTTTCCTCGCCCTCCTTCTTCTCCTAACCTCTGGGGATATCTCCCTGAACCCTGGTCCTCTACTATTTCACCCCCACACCAGGCACCCTCCTTCCTCCATGAATAGCCGCAATCCCCTCAATTTAAGATCAGTCCCCATACTCCCAAAACCCACCCTCCCTGTTTCATGTGCACTCTGGAACTCTGTCTGCAATAAACTCACCTCTGTCCATGACCTTTTTGTCTCCCGCTCCCTTAATCTACTAGCAATTACAGAAACCTGGCTCCAAGCAGCAGGTGGGGTTGGTTGCTTCTATCCCCACTGAGCACCTTTTAAGTCCTCCCTAACCCTCTCTCTCTATCCTTCTCTTCTTTCGAGACTCATTGCATTCAGCTGTTTTCTCCCATTTCTCTGAGGATTGCAGTGATCTATCGGCCTCCTGGACCGGAGTCCCACTTTCTTGATTTCTCCGCCTGGCTACCCTACTTTTTCTCCTCTGAACTACCCACTATCATTCTTGGAGATTATAACATCCCCACTAATGTGAACAACCCGGCAACATCCCAACTTTTCAACCTAACCTCATATTTTGCCTTAACGCAATGGACACAGTGCTCCACTCACTCTGATGGGAATACATTAGACCTTGTTTTCTCCCATCTTTGCCCTCCCTTCAACCTCACAAACACCCCCTTTCCTCTCTCTGATCACAATATCAACACCTTCACAGTGTCCTCATCTTCAAACACCTATCCCTCCAAGCAGCAAATAATTACCCACAGAAACCTTCACAACTTGAACCCTGCTCCTTTCCATTCTGCAACTGACCGCCTCTATGACAGAATCTCTCCCCTGTCCTGCCCTGACCTGGCCACTACTGTCTACAACAGTTTGCTTTCATCCACATTAGACTCACTTGCTCCTCTAACAACACGAAGCATCAGGCCCCGACCATTACAACCGTGGCAGACTGACAACACCAGAAATCTTAAGAGACATCGCCGTGTGCTGGAGCGACTGTGGCGTAAAACCAAAACTCGCCAAGCTTTTATCCTATATAAATCTGCTTTCCTAACATACAATTCCTCCCTCCATGCTGCCAAACAAGCCTACTTTCTCACTCTTATCAATAGCTTGTCATCTCCTCTCCACTTTTAGCTCTCTACTTTCTCCACCTCCACCCAGTACCTCACTCACTGCTTACGGGATTGCAAATCATTTAAAAAATAAGATTGATGCAATTCGTAGGGGCATCACTACTGCACAGACATCCATTACACTTAGCATACCTTATACTAAACCTCCCTCAACACTTTCCTCTTTTGACCTTGCAAGTACCAAAGAGGTCACTAAGGTTTTCTCAGAAGCCCGTCTCACTACCTGCCCCCTGGATCCTGTCCCCTCACAACTACTATGGTCACCATCTTCTTCCATCCTATGCTCCCTCACTCACATCTTCAATCTCTCCCTCTCTAACAGTGCCTTCCCCTCCCCTCTAAAGCATGCACACATCACTCCCATACTTAAAAAGCCCTCCCTGGACCCCACCAACCTGAACAACTTAAGACCCATCTCCCTGCTCCCGTTTACCTCGAAACTCTTAGAACACTTAGTCTACAATTGCCTGAGCTCCTACCTCACTGACAACAACCTTCTTCATCCTTTACAGTCTGGCTTTCGCTCACAACACTCCACTGAAACTGCCCTACTAAAACTCATTAATGATCTACTAACTGCTAAAACCAATGGCCACTACTCTGTACTCTTACTACTTGACCTCTCTGCGGCTTTTGCTACTGTTGACCATCCCCTCCTCCTCAAAAAACTCTGGTTCTCCTCCTGCCTATCACAGCGCTCCTTCAGTGTTACCTATAACTCTGGCTCCGCATCTCCACTCCCTCTTTCTGTAGGGGTCCCTCAAGGTTCTGTCCTTGGACCCCTAGTCTTCTCCATCTACACCTCCTCCCTTGGTCACTTGATAAACTCCCATGGCTTTAAGTACCATCTCTATGCTGGTGACACACAAATCTATCTTTCTACTCCTCACCTCTCCTCTTCAGTCTCCTCTCGCATTACTAGCCTGCTAAGCGACATATCGGAATGGATGTCACTCCACTTCCTCAAACTCAATCTTTCAAAAACTGAGTTCCTAGTATTCCATCCAGCCCGTCCCCCCTCCCCTGACTTCTCCATCAAGATCAATAACACAACCATAAGTTCCTCCCCTCATGCCAGGGTGCTAGGTGTAATCCTAGACTCCCATCTGTCCTTTCAGCCCCAAATCCAATCGCTCTCCAAATCTTGTAGACTCCTCCTCACCTCCGCAACATCTCCAAGATACGCCCGTTCCTAGCCTCGGAAACCACTAAGCAACTTATTCACTCCCTTGTTATCTCTCGCCTTGACTATTGTACCTCCCTCCTCATTGGCATACCTCATCTCAGGTTATCCCCTCTTCAGTCTATACTGAATGCTGCTGCCCAGACTCGATCACCTTACTAACCGTTCTGTATCTGCCACCCCTCTCTGCCAATCCCTCCACTGGCTTCCCATTGCCCAACGGATAAAATTCAAAACATTAACAATAACATATACTGTAAAGCCATTTATAACTCTGCCCCAAATTACATCACCAAAATTGTCTCCAAATATCACCCAAACCGTACTCTCTGCTCCTCGCACGACCTCCTGCTCGCTAGCTCCCTTGTCTCCTCCCCCCATGCTCGTCTCCAGGACTTCTCCAGAGCATCCCCCATCCTCTGGAACTCTCTACCCCAATCTATCAGACTATCGCCTACTCTGCTCATCTTTAGACGATCTCTGAAAACCTCTCTCTTCAGGGAAGTCTATCCTCAGCTAATTATGGAATCTTCTACTCCTCCTACCAATCCACCCCCCACAGTTACTACCTTTTGTACTACTAGCCACCCTCCTAGATTGTAAGCTCCAAGGAGCAGGGCCCTCCTATCCCTCTTGTATTGAACTGTATCGTTGCTGTATTGTCTCCCTTTATACTGTAAAGCGCTGAGCAAACTATTGGCGCTATGTAAATCCTGTATAATAATAATAGAACAGGGGATGTCCAGAGACTGCGGACATAGTACAGGGGATGACCAGAGACTGCGCGGACACAGTACAGGGGACTGCGGACACAGTACAGGGGATGACCAGAGACTGCGGACACAGTACAGGAGATGACCAGAGACTGCGGACATAGTACAGGAGATGACCAAACACTGCGGACCTTTGGGGAGCATTGGAGGAGGTGCTTACCTGAATTTGACAGGTACCCGCTCCCATTTCCACGGAGTTGTCCTCACTCTCCGTCTTCTGGGACACGGGACAGGTCCCAGAAGACTGCAGGACCATTCACAAACCGCAGCGCTTCTCGTGCATGCGTAGTGGGCACCCGGCTGTGAAGCCGGAAGCTGTTACAGCCGGGTGCCCACACTAAAGAGAGAAGAAGTGAGGACAGCGCTGGACCGAGGAACAAATAGAACCAAGGAGCACAGAAAGAGCTGTGCGGCCGGCCCGGTATTCTAACATGGCGACGGTGGGAATTCCGGGCCGGACGCTCCATATTCGTTCCATAAGACGCACCGACATTTCCCCCCATTTTGTGGGGGGAGAAAAGTGCGTCTTATGGAGCAAAAAATACAGTAACCCCTTCACTGCCACACAGCATACACAGCTTCACATACAGTAGCATAAAGATCTGTACCCTGTGTAGATCTGTATTCCTCTGCATCAATTGCCCATGCAACAGAATCAGAGAAAACAAGCTGAGCACCGAGCTAAGTCACTTAACTCCTTACATGCCAAACTACAACACAGGCACTTCAATGGTCAGCATTTAAAAGCTCAAGCAGCGTTACAGCCGAGCAAGGACACAGGCACAGGTCATCAATATTAATAGTGCCGATCCCCGGGGATACAGGATTTCACAGCGGCTGTAGCACCCCTTACCTGTGCTGTAGTCCGGCATGTAAGGAGTTAAGTTACTTCAGGTACCTCTTCGGCTTTAGCTCAACGCTCAACTTGTGTTCCCGGATTCTGTTGCGTGCGCAGTTGCTGCAGGGGATACAGATCTTCACAGGATGCACATCTTTATGCTACACTGGAGTATTATTTGGCTACTCAGCATACACTTTTACTGAGCACCCAAGTGCTTCCTTGTGCGAGGATAACCTGAAGAAATACATTTTTTTTTTCCTCAATGGGGCCAGCGCCTTGCTTAAGCTGGCCATACACATGTAGATTTTCGGACGAGAATCTTCATACGTAAATTCTTTGAACATTCGGTGACTGGATGAATGTCGTTCGAAAAAAATTGTCTTTTGCTTTTAACATTCGAGTTTAAAATGAATGTAATTTCTGAACCATAACCACATATACTGGCCGAAAATTTGTTTGATCGAGAAAAGTTTTCCTTCCTGCCTGTTCGAATTTAACCTTTGAGGACCAAGGGACGTATTTGTCCCATGTTTTTAATTGCGTGTATCATCTGATTAAGAACTTAAAACTGTTTTTTTTTTTTTTTTTGGTTTGAGTCAAAATATTAGTTCTTATCAACAAACAACAAATGGATCTAGCTTTTTGACAATTATTTCATGAAATGGCTTAGTTACAGCAACTGAAGTGTACGAACTTTAAAAACAAAAAAATTGATTCTTTTGGCGTTCCGTAATCTTATGGTCCTCAAAGGGTTAAGAGCCCGACACTCCCCTTTCCTGACGAGCACCCAATCAGTGCTCAACACACTGCAAGGTCTGTCCCCTCCCTGCTAGTCCCCGAGTGTGGTGCTGCAGAAGGGCAGGGAGGTGTTAAAAAAAAAAAAAATATATATATATATATATATATATATATATATATATATATTTATTATATTTTTTTTTTTTTTCCTATCAGGTCAAGTGAAATGTCATGAGGGACAAGTAGATTGGGACCCCCCCGAATTTAGTTTTTCAAGAAATTTCTACACCCCCGTTTATGCCATAGCGCTGCAATTTCTTTTGTATGTCATTCATTATAGCGTTGGCTTTTTACCATTTGGAAAATATTATAGTTTACGCCCTAAATACAGGCATAAAAGGTGGGAATACACGATTAGAAAATCGATCGATCGGTCATCCGACGACCGAGAGGCGTTCGTTCGTTGGTCGAAATCGTTGGTCGAAATCGTGGCCCACATTAACCAATCTAAAAAATCGTTCGTCGGGCAATACGTAGTGTTGACATCTTCCATACAAGTGGAAGTGATGCGGTGTGCATGTGTGACCTTGTAGCCACGCCCTTCCGGCCAGAACGAACGATATACACAATTACCAGCAATGAGTATAATATAGTTTATTACATGACCTATATACATAAACAGAGATACATAAAATATAATCTGCAGAATTCTGGTTTCATGATCTCATTAGGCCAATCTACTTTTACCATTTGGATTTTTCGTTCGTGTTTATGAAGATTCCTTGGACATAAACATCTGAATCATCTTCTGTTTCCACTCATGAGTGATAGCGCTTGATAGATTTTTTTCGTATGACTGTCATACCACCGCATAGAAAATCGGTCGTTCATATGTGAAACGACTACATTTTTCACTGTTGTTCAACCAGATTTTTTTCGTTAACAATATCATTATCGGTTAAAACATCCTGACCATCAACAAAGAGAAAATCATTTGATCCGCAAAATTTTTCGGCCGATTTTCATATTGTGTGTACGGGGCATAACCTGTAACATGTTCTAATAGGTGAACTTAGCGAGACGAGGACTGAGTTGAGCTGGCCATACATTATACAATTTTCTCTCAATTTTCTGTATAATTTCCTTTAGATTTATCTTAAACTATTTAGGATAAGGGTCTGCCTTTATAGATACAAACTGAACTTGTCACTTAGGTTTGACTCTTATTATGTGGCTTTTAGTAAATCTAAACAAAAACTGGGCAGCACAGTGGCTAAATGGTTAACACTTCTGCCTGGCAGTACTAGGGGTTGCAGGTTCAAATCCCAACCACGGCACCACCTGCCTGGAGTTTGCATGTGCTCCCTGTGCCTGCGTGGGTTTCCTCCAGGTCCTCCGGTTTCCTCCCACACTCCAAAGACATGCTGGTAGGTGAATTGGCTCCTGTCTAAATTGGCCCTAGTATGTGTATGTATGAATATGAGTTAGAGACCTTAGATTGTACGCCCCTTGAGGGTTAGGGACTGATGTGAATGTATATGTAAAGCGCTGCGCAAATTGATGGCGCTATATAAGTACCTGAAATAAATAAATAAATAGAAGAAATGTGTATAATGTATGGCCAGCTTAAAGGATAGGCAATTGTATGAGCTAATCGGGCTCTATTGCACAGCACTTCACACAATGAGGGCTTGCTGACAGTAGATGAGAGCAAAGCTTGTAAACGATCCTTAGTTATCTAACCAGCATTCGGGAGTTGGGTCAGTAACCAAGTTGTACTGCTCATCAACCCTGGAGAAAACTAAGATCGCTGGTCAGGCTATGCTCTCTCTCTGTGTAGTCTTGAGGACTGGACTGGCTGAACAAAACTGCAAATCTGGCATGTAACCCTAGGTTCACACCTAAGCGTTTTCTGCAGCGTTTTGCAGAAACGCACTACAGTCCATTTAACATTATTTCCTATGGGACAGGTTCACATCTCCGTGTTTTCACCCGGTGCGTTTTTTGGAAAGGGTCAGGGACTTTTTTAAAACACAAAAAGTTGCGTTTTTTGTTCTATAGACTTAAATGGAAATGCTGCAGAAAAGCATATAGTGCGTTTTTTGCTACGTTTTGCATTTTAAATCTGCCTAGCAACAAGAAAAAACAAAAACTGCAAAACACATCAAAAACGCGCCAAAAACACATGTGCAAAAATGCAAAATGCACTGCGGAAACGGATCAAACGCAAACTGCATAGGTGTGAAGCTAGCTTTAGACAGTTTTTCATATTGGTATTTCAACAGTGAATGTAGTTGTTTGCTAACAGGCAACTCACCTGCATCCTCTTCAGCGTGATCCAGGTCTGCAGCCACGGTGCTGTGACTTGATGACTGTGAACTTGGTGTGGACTCCATTGTAAACTAAAGAAATAAAACAGATTTTAAAGAAAAGTCCACTTTTGATAAACAAAACAATCATTTAACATATACAATTGTTACACAAGCCATTTAATAAATTTAAAGCCACACCTTTTTATCTCTTTATGGTCCAGGACCCCCTGAAGGTTATACTGCTGCCTACAGGAGGATTGGACACTGGCAAACAAAGAACTGTAGGCCAGTCCACAATAATCTCTCCTACTACCAGCATGCCCCAGTAGCAAAGCAGTACCAAGAGCATGATGAAAAACAGACGGGTGGGACCTGTGTTCCTTCTCCATGGACAGCCAGAAACAGGATTTTACAATGAGTATTAAAACCCTATTTTCCTTTTCATCTGTTGAAGAACACAGAAAGTCTTAAACCTTCAGAACATCCAAAATCAGAACAACTTCTTGGAAGGGTGGACAAAACAGCAAACACTAACAGAACTAATGAACAGAAATCAAAGAGCAGCCTGAAGGACGTAACGCAAAGCTGGCATCAGATGGGCATGAAATGTCCAAATGGCAGAACTTAGAAATGGACAGAAGACCAGGTAGTAGAATTACAGATCTGGGAAACAGAGGCCTGGTGCCAAGAAGCTCAAGAGGCACTTACCGACCTAGTATAGTGCTCCTTAACAGGAAATAGGGGCCCCAATCTTTCAGACCATATGTTTGAACAATGGTCCCTCTGAGATGGTGGAATGGGAAGCTGGTGCTTCAGTCTTTCTGAAAAAGAAGCAGTGACTTTAGGAAAATGGGCAGATCCACAAAAAAAAAAATCTGTTGTGTAGGACACATACAGCTTAAATTTACTTCTGTTTCCACTTGCATGCAGCTTTGTCAGGTTACCTGACTCTCAGTGTTGCAACTTATGGAGCACACAACTTTATGATTCAGTGCTCACTTTGTACTTACAGTGTCTTAAAAAAGTATTCATACCCTTTGAAACATTCCACATTTTGTCATGTTACAACCAAAAACGTAAATGTATTTTATTGGGATTTTATGTGATAGACCAACACAAAGTAGCAAATAAGTGAAGTGGAAAGAAAATGATAAATGGTTTTCAAACTTTTTTTTACAAACAAATATCCGAAAAGTGTGTCGTGAATTTGTATTCAGCCTCCTTTACTCTGATACCCCTTAATAAAATCTAGTGGAACCAATTGGTTTCAGAAGTCACCTAATCAGTAATTAGAGTCCACCTGTGTGTAAATTAATCTCAATATAAATATACAGCTGTTCTGTAAAGCCCTCAGAGATTTGTTAGAGAACATTAGTGAACAAACAGCATCATGAAAGCCAAGGAACACACCAGACAGATCAGGGATAAAGTTGTGAAGTGGTTTAATACAGGGTTAGGGTATAAAAAAAATATCCCAAGCTTTGAACATCTCACAGAGCACTGTTCAA